GGCGGCCGCTCTCCGGCCGCGTCCCGCGCTGGGGCGTTTGACAAGGCTTCCGGCGCAGGTGGGTCGAGGTCGCCTTCTGCCACAGCCGGTCGGTCAAGGACGTTGCCTGCAAAAAACAACACATACACACACACACACGGTTCGCTGTCTCTGCCTCAGGAAGGGGGGGGGGAATAGGAATGAGTCGTTCTGGAGCCTCAGGAATTCGCTTTTGATGAAGAGCCTCTGAGCTACGAGGAAGTACAGTAGGGAACAAGCCTCCCGCGCGCTCGGATTCCTCTTCCAAGGCCTTACGGGGCACGACAAGGTAGAAGGAGCGGAGGAAAGGGGAGAGCCCGCTGGTGGAAGGTAGTCAGGCACAAAAGAGTCAGGTAGGGACGGCAACAGAGCTAGGAATCCGGCTCATGTTAAATATGTGGTGAGAAAACGCCTCTGAGCATACGCACAATGCCGTTGGAATGCAGAAAGAAGCTCACCTTCCCTCCCGCCACGTCTTAATTGTGTTACCTTATTTTTTTTAAGCAGCTGCTACTTAAAAGAAGGAGGGGTGTGTGTGGGGGAGGGGAGAGATCCATCAAAAAAGCCAATAATACTGGGTATCCATTTGAGAGAGTTGCAGAATACTGTACCAAATTCATTTTCTCCCCAGTTGCTGAGGTGTAAAGCTTCCCTTAGTGTGTACAAGCATGTGTCTGTTTTCATCTTTGTGTACTGTTTGTGCTTTTGCATTGCTGTTTGGCTGCAACTTTGCAGTATCTATTTGGATGCAGTAAGATGTATACCCACCCAGTCTTTCACAGCATGGAGAAAAAATACAAGTGTTGCTTTATAGATTAATGTCCTTGAGCTGTTTAGCAAATTCAAATAGGTTATATGGAAATTTAACAGATGAAAACTAGGGATAGGCTAGTGTTGAATTACAATTAAAGTTGCTTCCTCCTGAATTTGTCATCTTATTTTTAGGTTCTTGGTTGAGCAGAAAAAGTAGGGGAGTAATTTACATTTTCCCCTTGTCAGTATAATCCACACTTTCCCAATAGTATTAATCTAGAGACATTTCTATCTCCCACACAAAAATATGTAGGAAATATTGGTGTGTTTTACCCCTATTTTAGGTCTTTAATTGGCTGGAAGCTGAGAGTTTCAGTCCCAGTATATCTGCTTACTATATCTATGGTGCCCTGCTTGATCGGATGGAATTACACTGTATTTGGTTGGTCTTGTTAGGGCTTGGAAGCTCAGACATGATAAATACTTTGATGGGAGACTCTGAGAAAATATCAAAGCTGTAGCTAAGAAGTTGAAAAACAACTCAGAATAAACCACAGTTGCACAGCCAAACCATTTTGATATTTTTGGCCATGAAGTCACCAGTAGTTCAATTCCACTTGAAGGACACCTTTTATCTTCCTTTTTTTAAAAAGAAAACATTTGGGGAAATCTGGAATAAAACTATGAACAAGCAGCTTGATTCCTTGACAAATTGACTACAAAGTATTATCTGCTTTCTTTTCTATATACTACTAAAACTCTCATTGTGTTTATCTGTTTGTTGTACCCTCAACCCCCTTTGTACCCTCACCACAACAATTTTTGAATCAAGGTATCTAAAATCCACTAACTTAATGCGTAAAAATCTGGGACCCATTACTCCTGAAATTTGAAATTGAAATTTCCACGATGTTCACACCAGTTTTATTCACAAAGTTGTGGCCGTTGCAGCATCCCCACAGTCACATGATTGTGATTTTTGACTGCTCTCTGCCAGCTTCCCACAAGCAAAGTCAATGGGGAAGCCAGCAGGAAGTCACTCCTGCTCCACTGCTTTTTTGTCTACCCATGGTCATTCTGTTTATCTGTTTAGGAAGTAAATATTGACTTATTATTGAAGTTTGTTTGCCACTACAATTATTTTTCTATTTATGATGTATACTCTTCTTAGATGATTACAGGACCATCTAGCATTGGGGTAAAAAAATATGGTCAGCCTAAAATTTAATGTTCATTCTGGTCACATCAGACTCTACTGTCTTTCTCTCAAAGGATGACCCAACGGGTCACAGGGTTGTCTAATCCTTAATAAAGAACCACTGCTCCAGTGATTATATGGGAGTGAAAGTAAAAAGTTAGGTTTCCATTATTAATGATTCATGGCAGGATTAACTGTTTCTTTGTTGTTCATGAATCAGGTTACAGCCTTTAACACAGTGATATATTAATAGATACAGTGGAACCTTGGGTTACGAACTTTTTGTAACAGAGAAAGTTCTGTTCACGAACTTTTCGAACCAGCTCCGGCCGCAAAATTTTGCTTCGGTTCATGAACTCCGCCTCGGGTTACGAACAGGATCCGCGGCCATTTTCCCTCCTGTGACCCGGTCCATGGCCATTTTCCCGCCCGTGACACGTGGTCT